GGGGGGGGGGGGGATTCCCAAGACTAGTGCAGGATTTTGGTTGGAGCATAGAATGGACCAATATTAAATTGGCTTCAAGGAATCATGATCATCAACAAATACATTTTACTTTTGTGCACAGGGCTTCCCTGAACCCTTGTTAGCTGTATCTTATTGATGATTCTTCATGTACCGTGTGCCCTTTAATGGCCCTGGGCACGTTTCTTTGCATGTTCTGGGAATGCCCCCCTGTAGCAAGACTCTGGCAAGTGTTGCCTCAGAGCCAACTGTGTTCGTGTCAGTGAGGATGCCTGCGACCATAACAACTCTGCTACTGAACGACAGTTCTTCCTTTCAGATTCCTACAAAATTGTTTAGTTCTTACTGGTCTAATGGCAGATATGACAATGATTGCGATATGCCTCAAAGTCTAAACATGATATGTGCATTAAGCAATGGGTTTCACTTCATGATGTTATCCATATGGAACTGTCAACAGCCCGAATCAATGGGCAGAAAGAGGATCATGTGAGCCTGTGGCTTGCAGCGGCTGCAACATTGAAAAGTAGGCTGTGATCCGGGTTTCTAGGTTTTTTTCTAGTGTGTATGTGTACTTATGCTACTCATTACCTATTGGTCCAGCCTACAGGGATCCTGTGAACGGGTGAGGTGTTTTATTTATTTTTTAAAATGTTGTTATGATGTTTTTTGTTTGTTTGTAAGGGAGTTAAATTTCTTTCTTTGTGTGGTACACATGTATACCATGTTGTTCTGCGTTTTTGTCTTAAATACATAACATTTTTATTAAAAGAAAATACATTTCAAGTATTCCGACATCCCTCGACATTCCCAGGTTACGTGCCCAGGACCAGATTCCAGGAAGTGATTCAAAAATAAATTCATAAAGTCGAGCTGAATGCTTTATAAGACTATTCACCATCTGCAGATACGTATATTTTGAACACATATCGGGTACAGTGCAGGTTTACCTTTAGCGTGACGAGCAGCGTGACCGTCTCCACTGAGTAGTAGCCTCTGTCAACGTAGTCTCCCATGAACAGGTAGTTGGTGTCTGGAGACTTTCCTCCAATCTTAAACAGCTCCATCAGGTCGTGGAACTGACCGTGGACATCGCCACACACCGTCACAGGGCATCGCACCTGAGGAGGCAAGGGAGGGACAATGTAAAAAGGTAACTGACAGTAATAATACAAAAAAAAAAATCCTGCAGATTAACAAACAAGTCATTCAAATGGCAAACTTCCTTAGAGACCAATAGAACTTACAGTTTTCTTTTGGTCGTTTACTATACTATATCTTCTGCAGATTTTTTTTATATTTAATCCACTTATTAAACACAGTGTAGTTAGCTGATATCCAGGCCAATACTTCATTTTCCTTCCGCTATTCATTATTATATTTAGAAACTGAATGGGATCGAGAGACAACTTGTACAATGGGCCAGTTTGGCACATTTTAAGCTAAATCATCGCTAGACAATAGTCAATGTATTGCAAGAGCTTTCTGGCAAATGTGTGAAATAAGGTGATGGGCCAGTAACACAAACACTACAAATAGAAACCCTTTGGATACCAAAATCTGGTGCTTTTGGGACAAAGCTTCATTTCGAGACTCCTTTATGTGTGTCATCCCCTCTATCTCCCCCTTTATAATATATCTCTCTGATAAAAGCTAAACCAGCCCAAAAATAATTTTAAAAAATCTGTCTGAAGAGATTACCCAAATACAGAAACTAATCCTTTCTGTGTTTTGGAACAGTGTAATAATGGAGCCTGTTGACAGTGTACACTAGAATGTCGGCCATCTGCAAATCAAGACGATTAATGTGCTGGATAAACAGACACTTTGTTCTCAGAAGAAAGCCCTTATTCAGATCACTGACTTAACGAACAGTTTCCTCATGATTCAATTTCCACATTAGAGAACAATTTTAACGTCTTGTAAACAAAAATAGGATGATATTATATCCAACAATGAAACAAATATGAGAAAACTAACACCCAAAACAAGGCTTTTAAAAGTTAAAGGTTAACACTAGATTGACTAACTTTTTTTGTTTCAATTCTAGGAATATATTGTATAATGCTTTTAAATGTTTTCTGGCAGATTCTAAGAAAGGACTGAAAGCCTGCAGCTCAGCAGAGTGTACAGTGAAAACAAGGTGGGATATTGTTCATGTTCTGCTAATAACGTGCCAGAGGGAACAGGGTCAGCCTCTAGAAAACATTTGGGGTATATATATATATATATATATATAAATAAAAAAAGACATCTATTGTATGAATCAAACCAGAACTATTATTAACTACTAAACTTTAAAGATATGCTGTGGTTTCTTCAAAAGGAAACAACTCTCATCTTGGTGTTTGTTTGTACCAGAGATGAATGTGACTATGTGACTAAGTTATTCTGATTTTAAACCATCTTCTGAGTCTGAAAAGTCTGTAGTTGTGTTTTGATATGTCTCAGTCCACTCCAAGCGTATTCAAAAATATTTAACAAAGAAAAGCAATTTTTTGGTAAAATAACTAAGAAAGGTATTGGTCACCAATCATTAAGAGTTTACATTTTATTACTTCAATATCATGAGAAATCTCACCTCCTGAACGTTGGATTCCTTGGTCAGAATCTCCTTGGCCTGGAGAGGAAACAAACGCACAGACTGCTTATTGAAAATGGTGACATTTGTAAGACCTTTTACTTAAATGTGATCAGGCAGACAGAATGTTATATTAAACTCTTGAACCAGACACGAACAGTAAATCATGTCACTTGTCTACGTTTAGCCTCTATGACAGGCTGACAGGTTATTTTGAGGTGTTGAAGGATCTGTGAACTCAAAGGACACCATCGATTTAAATTACTTGGCCGTGGAAAAAATAGGTTTGCTGATGAAAATGGAAAAAAAAAATCGTAACTTCGGACCACAGAAAGCTACAATGTTTGCTTACTTTCTACTAGGTTCCACCTGTTTTTGATCAATCGTCTGTTAATAACATGTCTAAAATATTTCAGAGTACAAGAAAATGACTTGTTTAAATCAACTGAACAAAACCCAAAGATATACATTTAAAGTGAATACAGATAAAAAGCTAAATTCCTCACATTTAATGACAATGGGCTAATTTTTATCCTGAGCATCTTAAAATGTATTGAATAAGCTTGATAACAACACGTTTCTTTCAATTGTATTTGTTCTATTATATCTACATAAATTTCAATGTATTTATCTTAAGGGTTATCAGCCATTTCAACCAGTCGAGATAATGATTTATTATAGCGAGAAATATTTATTATACATCATATTTAGAGTTCCACCCCACATTTCTTTTTTCATCTAGAATCTTGGTTGTACATCTTTAGATAGTCTAGGTTAGTTTTAGTGTTTCTTTACTCTTCTTTTACGTTTTGTTTAATCATTTGTTTAAACAGGGAAGGCTTACAGTCCTCCTCAATCCGTTTTATTGTAGTGTTATGTGTAAATACATTTCATCTAAACTACTGAACAAACTAAGGTTGAGTTTCTTTTATCTGTTTATCTGTTCACAATGACCCACCATTTTATTCCCCATATTCAGGAAATGACCTGTAACCTTCCAGTAATACATTTTAAACCTGTTACTAAATCATATATTATGAAAAATTATGAAAAGGTCTATGATCCATAAAAGCTACCGGACGAGTAATCTTTATGGTGCAACACTGAAGTGACGTCTGCAATAGGCTTGTCAGGTTTATGCAATGAAACGGTTGATCGATAAAGACAGGGCGCGGTGCACATGATTACCTTAATTATTATTAATACACGATCATTTTTAATACAGATTAAGAGTACACAACTCCTAAAATCTAACATTAACCGAGTCCTGATATTTGCGCTAAATGCAGTCATGTTAATAGACAGGAAATGAAAATGGGCTCCGTCTAATAGCTGGTATGATGTTAAAGATGCGAATTCTCGGCCTGCCTGACATCAGACGACGGTGGTCGGATGATTATCGTAATTATCATCGATATAATGGGTCTGATATTACACTTAACAATAATTGAAGGTGAACGATAATATTTCGCTGGTTAAATGCTTTTAAACATTAACAATCTGAGGATGACTGATGAAAATGGGGCAAGAATAGCCGCCTTGCCTACCAGAAATTAGTCGGAGCCGTTTTCACAATCTAGGCCACACTGTGAGCGAGGCCGACTGGGTCAAAAATACAAACCGGATAATTGTAAACCAACTTACCTTCTCGCAGAGTGTCCGGACTTGGTTTTCCGATAGCTGCTTACACTCATTTAGCTGTTCGATCCATTGGTCTAACTCTTTAGTGAATGATTTGTCTTCCATGGCAGCCGCGGCGGTAGCTCACTGAGCTAGCTGTGTTAGCTGAAACAAACTGGCCTGTGTCTCAACGCTAGCAGCTCTCTAGCCTTTAGCTCGTCGTATTGTTAACCCGATCAAGTCCCGCCAAATCGGTCGGAAATTCAACGATAACACCTCAAATAAACGAGCCGTTTACTCAACTTCTATCATGATAAACTACCCACGTCAAGTTACCAACGCTAAAAAACAGGTTATTTCAGCCGGGGGAGTGAAAAGGGTCGAATGTCCCCGATGCGACGGACCGTAGCGGCGAGAGGCAGCGGCGTCGCAAGCGGCTAGCCGAATAGCTAAGAGAGCTAGCTACAATAACATCCGGGTATTTCAGTAGCGCGCAGAGTGAACGCACCAGCGACACTGCGTGGACAAACCGCAAAATGCAAGACCGTTACAATGACAAGTCGGACAGAACAGGGGGGCACTTTTGAAACAAAATCCTATGACAAATAAACTACAAATTACATTTTTTCCAATTCACTACATGTCATCTTTGTTTGTTTTTTTATTGTTTTATAAAGCCATTCTGAGTATCTAGGAAAGCACTATATAAATTAAATGTACTATTATTAAAACATGTTTTGTCTCATGTTCTTCTGACCTACGCTTCGATAAAACTTTCTAACTTCCTCAATTTTATTGTTTTGTTTGTTTTTACTATCAACATGTTATGTCTTGGCATTACTTATTTTGTTATCAACAACACCATCAGACAGCAAAACACAAATACATTTCACTCACATTATGCAAGACCTATTGGAATTATATTAAACACTCATTTTCATCCATGGCAGACATCGAAAACAATAAACGCACATAGTGCGGGTTAAGTTGGGACACTTTGTATAGACACAAAATAACCTTCCATCAGTCACAGACCACTTTAACAGTAATGAACATAATTTGACCACTGAACAGATGTCTGCCTACAATTGTCTTAGAGCTTAACCCAAATGTGACTGATGCAATTTGAACACCCTATACTTACTATTTTCATAAATGAAAGGAACATATTTGTAAAATTATTACATTTTCATAACTTACTTAGATTTGGAATTTGTTTTTGTCTGTCTTGACCACGTCATGTAGCAGAATCCCAAGTCAGTGTTGGGTCTTAGAGATGGAGACCCACCTGCAGGCTGTGCTGCACTCATCCGCTTTGAACTTGTAAAGGGAAATACATTAGACACAGAGAAAGACAGATAATGGCCACCGGACTATAGATAAAAATGTGTAGTTGTATTAAAAAGTAATTTTCTTATGAGTATATGAGAAGAGAAAGGGACTCTCTCTGCTCTCTTGCATGTTTATTGCTTGGTCCCTAATTACAATATTCCTGCAGTTGGAAAAGGGTCTTCACACATGTCCGCACAAATAAGCAGGCGTGTTGCAAGCTATTCTTCAAGCTTCACAATTTAAACATAAGGTAAGTCTGGTGTTAGCCCAATTGGAATTGGACTAGGCAATATCAGCTGAACATAATTGGACCAACACTGTTTACAACTTATCAAATCTAATCACTAAGCAAACTAAAGAGGGCCAAAGAAAAAATAAATACTAAGAGCCAAATTGCACCTTTGTGGTTAGATCACGGTCTACAGATAGCCTAGCATTCACAACCTACACACAATCTAAGACTAATAAAGATCCTCAAGTAGGAATACTCTATTAGAAGTAAAAGTCCTGCATTCAAAATGTCACTCAAGTAAAAGTACAAAAGTATTAGCATCAAAATATAGGCTACTTACTACTTACTACCAAAAGTAAAAGTACTTATTATGCGGATTTGTCCGTTTCAGAATAATTATGTATTTTGATTATAATGATTGATCCTTAAAGTGTTCTCAAAGCTGGTAAAGGTGCAGCTAGTTTGAATGACTTTGTGTACTGCAGGGTAGCTTGTGAATTTACTCCAGGTGGAACTAAAGTCTGATTCAACACTTGATTATATTTCACATCATTAATCCAAATCTGTAAAGTAACTAAAGGTACAAAATTAATGTAGTGGAGTCAAAGTACACTATTTACCTCAACATTTTACTTAAGAACAGAGTAAATGTACTTAGTTAGTTCCCACTTCTGGTCCTAAGATATTGCTCAGAAATGTAGAATGATGTTGATCTGAGTAACTGATTAGCATATTCTTTATGAAAAATACCATACTGTATTTAAAGTGAAGACCTGTGCTGATGTAAAAGGTATTGTGGAGAAGAAATATGCAACATGTTCAGGATTTACAATTTTAAAAGAACAACATACTGTTGGCATGCTGAGCATTAATGTAATGCATAATGTTTTTCTGGTATGGATACAAGTCTGTTTCAGTGGGGGTCTTGATGATGAGGCCGGCAATCAAAACCAAATGTGTATTTGATAAATATTTGTATATATATATATATAATATCATATCTTATTATTATTATTATTATTATTATAATACTTATTATATTTGTTTACTCTGCAATTTAATATGTACCTACCTATATACTCCTGAAGTCAGTGTGTGTGTGTGTGTGTGTGTGTGTGTATATTATGTTTGATATATAAACTCTGAGTTATACTGTTTTCATGTCTGTTTTAATGAACCAATGTTGGGAAAAGGAAAACCTCAATACAGCCGGTTCCTACCATGGATGTATTTATAAGAACAACATGGTTGTGAATCCATTAAATCAAGCGCACCTACCGGCTTCAACAGTTATTGCGTATGTGGAGCAGCCCCATGGCTGCGTGCTTTACGGCAATCAACCCGTATCTTTAGGTTCTCTTGATACATCCATGGTCTGTAGACGCTAAATCCAACCGATATCTGCAGTCTGCAGTCAGGCAACTAACAGAAACAGCCAACAATGGCTCATCTTACTGAAAACCACGCTGACAAAGAGAGGTGAGTTATTTTAATAGCTAGCTTTTTAGCCTAGCTTATGTTAAGCTAAAGCTAACAGCGTTTAGCCTTTCGCTCACTTACAGTAAAACCCCAGTATAGAATACCTATGATTTTAAGGATGACGGCTGTATAATTAAATATGACTTCCTTAATGCTTGTTACTGTATTGTGTTCTAATTCCTTTAGGACCACTCTTTAATTCGGCTTACATTTACTTACAATTGTAGCTTTTAATACAGCAAAAGAAATCTGATGTTCTTTGGGTTTACGTAAACTACAACTACTCGACGGTAAAGCAAAATGGGAGATTGTCATGTAAACTGAATGTAATGTTAGCTGAATTAACCCTCTTTACCACTACACTTTTAAAAAATGACAATCTCTAATGTGTTGAATGTACAGTCCCCTTCTACAAAGTATTTGTCAGAAACCGTGGCAAACGTCTTAAGTTGCCTGTTATTTACGTGAAGTGTGGCTTGTCGTCGCAGCCCTCGAGCATGACGTGTATTAAAGGTCCCTAAACCTCAATAGTTGCACTTGTCTAAAACTTTTCCCAACGACGTTTAATTACTTTTTAAAGATTGAGGACTATGGGGGATATCTTATAATGTTATGTCTCCATTAGCTTCTTCTTGTTATAGCTTCTCAGTCAAAGGTTTGGCTAACTCGGAGGGAGTTAGTCATTCAGACCAGCCTGAATGTAAAATACAGCTTCTGAAAAGTCACTACGAGCTCCTAAGGCAAGTCCATTAACTGTTAAGAGATGGCATTGAAAGGAAAGCGCTTTAGAACCTCAGATTATTATCATCATTTTATAATATTCAGGTTCTGATTTTAATTTGAAACTAAAAACACCACCAAATATTTACATATATAAACTAAGCACATGGCATGAATCTTTTCAAATGTATTTTTGTAAAATAATCAATACATTTAGTTCTGTTTTAGGCCTGTTATCTCAAAAGCTCTGAATCTTAATGTCCGTAACATAGTGAGTAACATGAGTTTTTCTGTGATCTGTTCCAGGTTCATCTGCATCTATCCCATCTACGTCAACAGTAAGAAGACGCTGGCTGAAGGGCGAAGGATCCCCACAGAGAAGGTTCTTACGCTTCACGGTTTCAAAATGTTTCAGCAGAACATGCAAGGAACTTTGTTTTGGTGCATAAAGAGTGGAAATTATTAGTGGACTAATTTATTAATCAAAAATGATTCCCAACTATATTGACACCGATCGTTTAAAGAGCAACTTGAAGGGTTTTTTTTTTTTTACTACATTTATGCTTAACCTTGCCTGAAAATTACAATTAAAAAATGTTAATGCAGGATTTGATATGTTTTACAAGACATAAGGGCAGGAATTCAGAGGAAAAGGAGCCGTTTTGAGCTCTGCTACTAAAAACTGCTTTTTTTTTAACGTCATACGTCAAACGCGTCATATTACGTCACATGGGGGAGTTAACTTTCTCGGACTTGTTCTCTGCCCAATCCGCGGTAGTAGTTTGTAGTTGGTTTGAGCGGTTGTGATTTAGTGAGCTGGTATTTTTTCGGTAATTTTACATTGCATTTCACCATTTGTAATCATGGTGAGCTTGTGTTTGTGCAGGTTGCACAAACTCCAGCCTTTCAGGACATCGAGTCCACAGTTTCCCTCACGGGAAAAGGACCGGAGCTAGCGTTCGTTCCTGGGTGCGTTGTGCATCCACCTCCCTGCAGCACATACCCCGTCTCCACAGCTTTATCAAGAAACCGTATTACATCTCTCTCCCCCCCTTCGCTGCTCTCTCTCTCTCCCCCCTTCGCTGCTCTCTCTCTCCCCCCTTCGCTGCTCTCTCTCTCCCCTCCGGTACACGGCACCCGTAGTGTGGAGTTAGGTAACGCTGTGGTGGCTGTACTGCTCCAGCCGTCTCCTTTGTGTTTGTTTGTTTCCCCCTGTCTGTGTTGTTTGTGTGGGCATGGTGGCTGTCACTCCTGGCTCCCGGCTCAACCTCCACTCACCTGCTGCAATCAGCTGTGCACCCTCCCTTTTCAACCTCTTCTGTGTCAAAACTAGCACTGTGAACCATGTTTATTCATACGTTAGACCGGCCGCTCTCCCCCTTGTTTCCCCATGTTACGTCACACGCGGGAGGTCACGTGCGGAGGCTTTCTTATGTGGAAGTGAAAATGTCTTACTAAAACGACGCCAGATGGCACTGTAGTGTATATTTCTGTATATTTTTTGGAAAATATAGTGTATTCATCATTTCCCTACACATTTATTCACTGGTGTCTCTAACCTGCAAGTTGCTCTTTAAGCCCCACGGACCCGGTTCCGGGGCCGAAATCACGTCATTTGCAGGAAACAACGTCTAAGGAACTTTAATATTTAATAAACTATGAATATTTTGTATCCATATAATGGAAAAAAACTAATTTA